ATAGCCGTCACCAGAAGACTCTGTGGCCGGGGCGCCACCGTCCAGCTTGCTGTCTCACGTGTGGTTCTCAGGTGTCTTTCCAGAATGCTCAGAGGCTCCTCTCAAGTTTCCTTGCGATGCAGTCGTCCTGAGGGTGTTGCCTACAAAGGGCCTGGATTCCTCCTTTTCACCACGGAGTTCGATAAGGGATCCCGAAACCCAACAACCGAAAAAGTTAGTTAGCGCACTTAGCATCAGGCAGCGGGCAGCTGTCCACGCCACGCGAGTTCTGGCTCAGAGAGGCCCAGTGTGCGGGAGCCCAGGAGGGGAGTTTGCGGCCAGGGATGAGTGGCCGCGTGCCGCTGGCGGAGAAGGCCCTGTCTGAGAGCTATGCCCGGCTCCGGTACCGGGATACCTCCTTGCTCATCTGGCAGCAGCAACAGCAGAAACTGGAATCCGTGCCCCCTGGGACATACCTGAGCAGGAGCCGAAGCATGTGGTACTCCCAGTACGGAAACGAGGCCATCCTGGTCCGGGACAGAAACAAGCTTGAGGTCTCCCGGGACACGGGCCAGTCCAAGTTTTGTACGGTCATGTAACTCCAGCCTGAAGACCGGGGCCCAGGCACCAGGCTGGGGGGAGAGCGGGCCACGTTTCGTTCAGGGGCCTTGGTGATTTCCAGTCCTTACTGGGAGATGGCGAATAGTGAGCGCGAAGACGAAGCCGGGCCGGTGGCGCCCAAGCCCTCTCTCACGGGATCGAGTGACTGGCGGACCTGGCCTCTGGGCCCGGTGCCCGGTCCGCGGGCACTGCGGGCACAGCCCAGGCCGGGGCACGGCCAGACGCTGCTTTTCTCTGGCGCTTCCAAACGAACCAAGCAAGGGGGACTCCCTGGCTACAAACCACCTTTTCAGAACTTTCTAGGCTGTCGTTAGCCTTCCCCCTTCTGCCTGGTCTGGAGACAGATCTAGAAAAAGGTGGAGGAGTTAGCACCACGTATGGGCAGGCAGCATCTGCGGGGGCAAGCTGGATTCCGAGGCCAGCGGCGGCACCGCGGCAGGGACTGACACCGCGCGTCTTGTTACAAGATGGGCGTCGCGTGCAAGGCGCGGGGCAGCTTCCGCACCAGCTGCCGAGTGCGTCCCAACACAGGGCGGAAGCCCAGAACTACTGGGCTGGAATCGCGTGGCTGGAAAAGGCCGGTGCGGCTTCGCGGTGCGCCACCTCTGCGGGGCCGGGCGCGTGCCGCGGGAGGCATTTTCAAAGGCTTTGCCGTCTGCTGTGACTGAAGGCTGTGAGGCTATGCAACTGCGGGAATCTGTTGTCAAGGCTGGCTTTTCTAAATAAATACCCTTTGGGACACTCCTTCCTTCCTCACTTTTTTTTTAAGTTTGTTCATAGCACCTTAACTTGGCTTCAGATTCTGTGTGTGTGTGTGTGTGTGTGTGTGTGTGTGTGTTCATACCAGAATCTAATGATTGCTACAAACCCCGTTACAGGAACGCATAAAGCAACCCCAAAGCATCAGTCCTGTGCGTGTGCGTGCACAACTGCGCGTGCTTTTAATGTTCTGGGAGTTTCTTCTGCTGTACAGATGGACGTCTCCACCATGCTTTGAATGTCTGATCAGCATTCCGGTGAGCCGGCAGGTGGGCAGAGGGTCTCCTTGATGGTGCCGGGCAGACAGCACAGCTCGAGCTTCGTCGTACGTGGTTCTCTTTGTGGCTGTGCCAAGTTCACTGGCAAACATCCCGGAAGTGGGACTGCTGGGTCCGAGTGCGTTCCCCAAATGTTTAGTGTCCAGCCACCGGCCTGGTCTTTTGTGACGGACCCTTGGCCGGCTTGCTACGTGGGTTGGGAGGCTTGAAGTCACATTTCCTGGATCGCCTCCCGGAGTGGACGAGGGAGGCTGGTCCCAGGTACCAAGTGAGGCCTCTGCAGTGAGGGCTGGCCTGTGGAGCAGCCCTGACACAGGAATTAACCCAGTGGACGGCTGGGTCAACATCTCTGCAGGTCTCCCGTTAAAGTCCTGCTTGGGAAGAAAGCAGACTTCAGAGACTCATCGGGAATGCCTCTGTGCCACACGCTGACCTGCACCAGATGAACTTGAGAACAGGTGCTGGTTGAGTTCGGTTTGGCCCCAGGCATGGAGGGGTAGCGCCTGGGAAGACCAGCACCGGCCACCACCCACCGCCCGTGTCTGCCAAGGGTCAGGGTGTGCAGGTGACCGACGTGCACCGGCTGCTTGTAGGACAGTAGGCGCTAAGCTGCTTAGAAGAGCATCGGAAGCCACCATCTGCCCGAGGGAAGCCCGGACGGCTGGTCTCCCTGGCTTGGGCTGGGGCCACTGAGGTGGACACGGCCCAGCCCCCGTCCTTGGGGAGGTTGGCCTGGATGAGGCGGGGGGGAAGAGTGTGGACAAGGATGCCGGTGCAGGGGATGCTGGGAGGGTGCCCGCTGACAGCCTGGGGGTGGGGTGGGGTGGGGCGGGGCGCCAGGCCTGGACCTGGGCCCACCGGCAGCTTTCTGGAGGACAAAAGCTGCCGGCTCCACAAGGCCCGGCTCAAACGGCCAGACTGCTTGCGCAACAGCGTCCGAGCTCCCGTGTCAACCGCTCCTCGCCGAAGCTTCTACTGAGCGCCGGGGTTCCGCAAACATGCGACAGCGTCTGATGCCCATTGTCCCGGAACCCGCCCCCGTGGGGACCGAGGCACGGCGGGGAAGGGGGGATCCGCCCGGACAGGAGGGATGGCCGCAGGAGGACGGAAACGTGACAGATGTGCCTCCACACGGAGGACAGCTTGCTCCGGAGGACAGTTAGCAGACAGGAAAGGCTACGAACGATGCTCCCGAAACCCTGGTGCCTTCCTGCCCGGGCAGAGGACCGGAGCTGCTTGGGGTATTTCTGCCCGGCCCCTCGTTCTGCAGCAGTAAGGGGACTGGGCCGCCTTCGGAGCACCTCCACACACACGCACGGGAGGCTGGGAGCCACCAAAAGCACAGGAAACAGCACATACGGCACCTCTTTTTTTTTTGCTGTTTGTTTTATTATGAAACAAAACAAATGCCCCAGGAGAAGGGTCCATGATTACCAGAGACATCCAAGAGTACTTTCTACCATTTTTATTCTGTTGTGTTGAGGCCAGCACTGCAATAAACAAGCTAAAACTACTTACATTGGACTCATTTTCAGTAACTGACATTTACAGGAATATACTAGAAACGGCACTAAAAAGTTTAAGAAAAGTTACGGTAAACTTGCATGCACATCATACAGAAAAGTAACATTTTAAATATAAAAAAGAAAAACTTCCTGGAGGCGTTACGCCAGCGTCGAGGCACAGGCTACAGCGGGTGGAACGCGTCCCTTCTCTGGGCGGTGTTTCTCCCAGAGGGCTGTCACAGACGTGGGTGTGGCAGAACAAAAACAAACAAAAGGAAAACATATCTTACAGTTTGTAAGCAAGAGGACGCCGCCCGGCAGGAGCAAGGGTCTCTGCCCCCTCGGCCTCCGGGGCTCACGTGAGGCCAACCTCCTAAGCGCACGGGTCCCTGCCGCTCGACAAAAGGCCGTGAGGGGCTGCCCTCGGGTCCTTGGCGCCGGGACGGCCCTGCCCGTCGTCCCGCCGCAGCCTCCCCAACACAGAGACGAGGAGAGACCGCAGCCACCGCAGGCTGACCTCGAGGGGGCCGAGGACGTTCCCCCAAACTCTAAAGAGAAACCAGCTTTGAAGTCTGCACAGAAAGCCTTAAAAAAAAAAAAAAAAACCGCAGCACCGACAGCCTACGACCGTTCCGGATGGACAGCAGCCCTCCGTGCCATCGCGGCCAGCAGCCTCTTCCCGGGGGCGAGAGGGGCAGAGGTGTTCCAGAACCCGGTCTCCTGCAGAGCCGGCGGGCACCGAAGGGCTCGGAAACGCGTCCGCTGTGTGAGGAGCCCGGGCTCCCCGACCTACCGGCTCACACAGGCCCCTCGCCACCTCTGCGGCTGGACAGGTGCTCCCGGGGAGCCCCCCCCTCGGCCCCGTGCAACTCCCGGCACCCTCTGTTCGGGGTCCGTTCGTCACCTGGAGGTGCGCTCGCCGTGCGTTGCCAGAGAGATCCTGCTTTAAGACCCATCCATCGTGTCCTGTATTAATTCCTTAAAGTCCTAGTTTAAATATTCCATTGAAGATCTGCTTAGAAAACACCTTTGAAAAACAAGGGTAACTTTAAAAAATGGCAAGTTTAAAATCCACATATGTTTTGGTTATAAACAAAACGGGATTAAAAGTTTAACTGGCTCAAAACTCATCTAGCGTCAGAATCACCAGCAGTAAGAAAGATGGTAACCCATCCACTGCCCCACCAGTCAGAGTCCCACATCCACCAAGGGCATCCGTGACCGTAAGGGCCGGTGGAATCTGAATGCGTTTTGTGATTTTAAAAAACTGCCCCCCTGTTAGGGTACTGAGGACTAGTCCCCTCGTCTGCCCGGAAACGTGCCACCAGACCAAAGGCCAGGCCACCCGCAGCTCCGCCCCCAGCACCCGCCTCCAGGAAGTCCTCGCAGGGAGGCCTGGGAGAATGCCCTGTGTCAGTCATTTCTGTGCTGATGGGAAAATGCCCTGTGTAGTCTTGGGGAGCGAACCCTCCTGCGGCCGGGGAGTTGGGGGGGGGGGGTCTTTTACCCCTGGAGAGAGAAGCCCAGCCAGGGTGAGCCCGGTGGTGGGCTGAAAGGCGGCAGCGGGGGGCCGCTGCCGCTGCCCCTGCCCTGGGGGCTGGGAGGTGAGGGGTGCCCCGTCTGGGGACCCGGACGGCTGACCCCGGGCACTCTTGGCCTAAGCCACACGCTCAGAGCTCAGGCAGGCAGTGTGGGGCGGGGCGTCCCTGTAGTCAAAGGCCGCAGGGCGGCCTCTGGAAGAAACAAAACCAAAACATAACCTTCTGTTAAACTCTGTATATTATTATTATTATTTTTTTTTACAATAGAAAGTTAAAAATCAAGACTTAGATTTACTATACATCTTTTTTTCTCTCAGATTACAAAGTTTATATTATATAACTGGGGTTCCCTAAATTGATTTCTTTTAAAACAGTCCTAAAGAGACCAGAGGCGAATACAAAAGAACTCAACAAAATAAAAACTGGGGGTGTGCTGCAGCTGGAAGTTGTCTGTACGTCTCCAAACGTCTCTCTCTCTCTCTCTCACACACACACACACACACACACGAAGAACAGACGCGGAACCCCAGCGGAGCCGGGAGGGGGGCCGGCGCGGGCGGTGGGGCACGAGCACCTGCAGGCCGGAGTCCGGGGTTCTCCTGCCAACCACTGACGAGGCCTGCGCTTCTGCGATTTTTTTTTTTTTAATGCATTTCTTTTGCAGTTTTTTTCTTTTCTTTTTTTTAAAAAAATGACCAATGATGTTAATAAATAAAGTATTCATATATACATGAAGTTGGGGAAACGGTTCCAGGGTGTGCGGCAGCTGATGAGTCGGGGACACACGTCGGGCTGGGCTTTCGTAGAAAACTGCTGAACCTTACAAAAAGGTCTCCTTTTATTTTTTTATTTATTTTTTGTCTTTTTAATCTTTTTTTGTTTTGTTTTCCGTTGTTTTTTTTTTTTTTTTTTTTTTCTTAAGTTGAGGTAAAAGTTTCAGTGTATGGAAACCTACGAGCTGCACACGCAGCCCCCGTGTTCCCTTCCGGGAGCCCCGGACACCCCTCCTCTCCGCGCCCGCCTGCCTCTCTCCCCGCCCCTGCAGAAGCCCTGCCTGGAGCTGGACGGGGCCCCCGAAGCCCGCGCCAGGCTGGCTGTTCTCCGCGCCCCCAGAAAGAGGCGACCCCAGCCGCGAGGCTGAGCTCGGGGCCCAAAGGACAAAGACAGCACCTGTTTGCCAAGCTGACCGCTTTCCATACAGTACCATCCAGAGAAACTTCCTTTGCAACAATGCGTTCCGGAGCTAGAGACCAGGTGGGGCGTAAGAGAGGCGTTTCGCAAGAAACCTCAGACCGCATCTGGCATGTTTTTTCTACGGCTGTCAGGTCAGCGTTCGAAGTTACCATCTCCAAGCAACCGAATTCGGTGACAAAGACTTTATGCAGAGTCGCACCGTCTCATAAAGCCTCACGTACCCACGAGAAAGATCTCTGACCTATTAAAGCAAAAACTGGAAGCTACCATAACACTGAGTTAAGAAGAAAGCCCGCACACCATGGAACGAAAGTAGTATATTAACCATAGAAGGGAACACTGCAGAGTTGGGGCGTGTGCGACGTCGCTGGTTTTGTGCCGTTCTGTGAGTCCAGAGCTCATTCCGAGTCGCTGCTGTCGGAGCTGGATCCGCTGGAACTGCTGCTCCCGGATGCGGACGAGCTGCTGCTGCTGAGCCGGGACGGCCCTCCCGAGGGCGCGGAGCCCGCTTTCTCTGAGGGAGACGCGACAGGTGAGAGGCGCTCCCCCGCGCACCCCCACGCACCCCTGCACCCGCCGGGCGAGCCCTTCCGGAACGTCCACCGGCGTCACACCGCCACGTCCCGTGCCTCGACCCACCCATTTCTTCACCCCGAAGCTCGGGCAATATTAACGAATGTTTGTTGAAAAGAATGACCGCGTTAATGAGATCATGGTACGGTAAGAGATGCGCTCGGCCTCTGTCCGGGTTCTGGGCACAGAGCTCCTAAAACCCTTGGAATCCCCGGACGGGGACGTCTTTGGTTATTTGCACGGAGCCCCCTTTACATCACACCCGAGTTTATGCTCATGAGCGACTCAGGGTACAGCTGGTCCCCAGGAAAACCATGTGGAGGGGGCTGGGAACTTTCACCCCCTGGCCCCTAACTCCGGGGAAGGGAGGGCAGGGGAGGTGGAGCGCTAAAATGTTCTCGCTCCCCAGAGCCTCCAGGTTGGCGGACGGGCGGAGGGGCGGGGAGGGTGGCGTGCCCAGGGAGGGGAGGGAAGCTCCACGCCCTCACCCCTGCCACGCCTCGCCCTGTGCACCCCTCCCCTTCGGCTGTTCCTGAGTTGTGCCCTTTACGATAAACGACACAGTAAATAAAGCACTTTCCTGAGTTCTGCGAGCCATCCTAGCAAATTATCAAATCCGAGCAGAGGGTCACGGGAACCCCAGTTGACAGCTTGGTGGTAAGGCAGGCCCAGGACTTGCACCTGGCATCTAAGAGAAGGGCGGTCTTTGGGGGTGGACCCCCCACCACTGGGGTCTCAGCGAACCCTACGTAAATAGCGTCAGGACCGAACTGGATGGCTGGACCCCACCCACAGCTGGCACTGCAGAGTCAGTGTGAGCAGAAGCCCACGCACTTGGTGTCAGAAGTGGGAGTAAAACTAGCTCAGAGGTCAACAAAACTAAATATACTTGAGTCTAGAAAACACAGGTGCGATCTGCTAGGAATCTGACGGGGCGTGGGGGGAGGTCAGCAGTATAAAGATATCCACCAGTCACGTGCCGCCTACTCTGCCCTTCCCAGGGGCGATCCAGGGGACCCTCCCAGGCTTCAGAGGGAGCAGGCAGGGCGAGCAGGACTCGGCAAGGCGGCGGCAGCCAGCCGCCACACTATCGTGCAGATGGGACCCCGACTCTGATCACCCCCTGGGCGCCACCATCCCTGGGGCCGGGAGAAAATTATTTGCCCTTTCTTACAGGCTCCAGAGGAAAGAGACAACGAGTCAAATCACCTGCTCACCTAAAATAAGGCTCCGCGGTCCACAAAGCACAGGGCCTGGCCAGGGGCAGCCGGGAAGGAAGCCCGCTGCCAGGGGCCGGGACCCCGGTCCCTCTCAAGCCACGGGGTCTACCCCCAAAGACCACAGTGAGGCCCTTCCACAGAGTCCTCTCCGGGGGTTCTGGCCTGGGGCGCTTCCACCCATGCCTCCCATCTGCTCAACCTCCCTGCAGGACCGGGGTCCCCTGTTTACAGGCAAGGGACTTGGGGGTTCAAGAGATCGAGAGCTTCACCTAAGGACACGCTGCCCCTGAGCCGGTGGCGCCGCGGACCGAAGCCTGGGTCCGCCGGCCACCGCCCTACCGCCGACCCTCCCCCGTTGCCAGCAGCAGCAGGGGCCTCGGCAGCAGCGTGGCCCACACACAGGTACCTTTCTTGGCAGGCTTCTTGTTGTTCAGCTGTCCGCTGACATCCTGCAGCCGCCTCTCTAACTCCTTCTTCTTTTCCTGAGCTAACTCCTCCTTCGACTTGGCCGCCTGCTTCTTCCCGCTTGGGGCTGCAGAAGAGCACAGAGCTGAGAAGGCGGGGCGGGGAGAGGGCGGGCAGCCACCCCTGGGGCCAAGGCCGCACCCGGCCCTCAGCAGGGCGGCCTCTAGGTGCCAGCCAGCACGCCCCCTCCCGGAGGCTCACAAGCTGTGCCTGGCCCCGCCCCTCCCCCCCGCCGGGCAAGGCCGCCGCCCCAGTTCCCTGCCGCACGCGCTGTTCCCTCGCCACAGGCACAGCCTTTTCTGCAAACCTCACGCCATCCCCACTCCACACGGCGCACAGACGGGCATGTGCCGCTTGGCGACACTGTCCCCCGTGCGGAGGGCAGAGTCGAGACCTGAACGCCGACCCTCCAACTCACAGTTGTCCTCACGGGCGCAGCTCTCCCTCGGCTCGGCCGCCCCGCACGCCTGTGCCGCCACCTCGGAGTCCAAGGGGAACTTACCGAGGGCCCAAAGTGCGTGACTGCGGGGGTCACGTGACTCCGTCCAGGGGGAAGCAACCGACCCCTCAGAGTGAGGGAGAAAGCCCGATGAGCGGGCCACACGCAGGTGTAGGCGCACGCTGGCTGTTCCCTGGGGCCGGGCACTGCCCAGCTCTCCTGCCTCCTCGGGCCTGTCCTTTCCCTCACTCCCCAGCACCCGCTGCCCCAGGCAGTGCCTCGTCCCCATCCGGTGCCAATGTCCGTCCTGGGAGGCCTCTGGACCCTCAACTCCCAGTAAGAGGAAACCGGTCTGCCCCGGCAGGGGGACCATCGAGAGGTCCCCTGCAGCCCTGCTCCAAACGGAGCCTCAGGGAGGCTTGTGGCGAAGGCCTTAGCTGGCACTCGAATGCAGGAGGCTCAGGACCGACCCAGGGGTCCTGCCTGTCCCTGTGACCGCCAAGGCATGCACGTGCCGCCCCTGCCCAAGGGCAGGGGAGGAGGGCCCGGCTGAGCCATCAGCACCTGTCTTTGGGGCACATGGCGGGAATGGGGGGAGGAGAGTGACCCACCCCACTTCCTAGCTCCCCCCCCCCCGCCCCCACCGGGCCTAGAGAAGAGGGAAGCGGGGAGGCGGGGGGGAGGAGGACAGAGATGGCAAGTAGGGCGCTCTGCCCCCACAACTTACAGAATGGCTTCCTTTGCTTTTTCTGTAAACAAGACTTGACGTATCTCTCTAGTTCCCGCAACGTGGTGGGTTTCAGAGTCTCAAAGTCAATCTCTATTTCGTCAGGGTTGGAGTCCCTGAGTGAGGGCTCCCGGGACTGGATGATGTGCACCACCCGGCCCAGCTTCTCCCCGGGCAGCCGGTTGATGTCCAGGCTGAGCTGGCGCTTCTCGTCGTAGCTCATGGGCAAGCCCTCTTCCTCCTCCTCCGAGTCGTAGGAGGCCGACGCCTGCTTGCCGCCCTTCTTGGGCTGCCTGAGGGACAAGGCAAAGAACACCGTGGCACAGAGCCCCTGTCCCGTCCCGCTGACCATGTGGAGCCCCTGCCTCTGTCCTGCCATCCCCCGTGGAGCCCCTGCCCCATCCTCCTGTCTCCTGCCCCCCCTGCCCCCCGTCCCCCCACCCCCATGAAGCCCCAGCCTCATCCCCTCTGCCCCTTGTCCCCCCAGCCTCATGGAGCCCCTGCCCCGTCCCCTGTGAAGCCCCTACCCCTGTTCCCCCAGCCCCCATGGAGGCCCTGCCCCATGTCCCTACCCCCACCCCGTGGAGCCTCCAGCCCCCCTGAAGCCCAGCCCCTTGCCCACATTCTGTCTGGCCTTCTTCCTCTCCAGAACCAGGCTCTTTTACCAAGGAGCAAGCCCAAAGTGGTGCCCCAGGCAGAGAAGCCAGGTGGGCTGAGGGCTGCATGTGTACCTGCAGAGACACAGAACACCCTGTTCCAGCAGAAGGTGCTCCAAGCCTGAGCCAGGAAAGGAGTACAGTGGTCAGCTCCCTTCAACACCCCACGGGCATCTCAAATTCATCTCAAATTCGGCAGGTCAAAAACTGACCTCCATATTGACATAATCCAAAAGGAGACAGGAACGGAGACAGAGGAGTAAAAACCAGAGGGATGACAGAAGACACGGTAATGGCAGACCAAAATGCAACTGTAACAATTTCTACATTAAACATAAATGGTCTAAAGACACCACCTAAAAGAAAAGCAAAGTCAGGCTGGATAAGAAACAAGACCCGACTTGCATGTGGTCCACAAGCCCCATTTTAAATACAGTGACGGAACCAGGTTAAGAGTAAAGAAATGGGGGAATGAAAGGCTAACCCAAAGAAAGCTGAGCTGCCGTGGGTGTATTAGCATCAGACAGAGGAGACTTCAGAAAAAGGAATATCGTCAGGAAGAAACAGCACATGGTAAAAGGATCGACTGACTGAGAAGACATCACGGTCCTCAGCGTGCATGTGTCTAAAATCCAAGCCTCAAAATACATGAAGCAAAACCGGTAGAACCAAAGGAGGCAGACACATCCGCGATTACGGCTGGGGACCCAACGATTCTCTCCCTCACATTAATTAATGCAACAAATCAGCAAGAAGAGAGAAGACCAACACCACCATCAACCAAATTAACCCAACTGACACGTTTTTGTCTTTTTTTTCCCCCCTGACATTTAGGCAACACTAGACCCAACAGCGGGAGAACACATATGCAAGTCCACGTGGAACATCGCCAAATCTTGGCCATAAAAATAAATCTGAACAAATTCAAAAGTACTGAGATCACACAAAGTATGTTCTCAGGCCCTAATGGAATTAAACCAGAAACTAGTAACAGAAAAATGTCCAGAAGAATCTCTAGTTACTTGGAAATTAACACGTCTAAATATCCTGTGGTCAAAGAGCAAGTCTGAAGGGAAATCAGAAGATATTTTGAACCAAATAAAATCATATATCAAATTTATAGAGTACAGCTGAAATAGTGTTTAGATAGAAATTAATAGTTATTACTAAATGCTTACATTACAAAAGATCTCAAGTCAATAAACCTAAGTTCCTAATTCAAGAGAGCAAATTAAGTCCAAAGCAAGCAAAGGAAATAATAAAAGACCATAAACAAAAGGAAGCGAAAGCAGACAAAAACCAATGACGTTAAAAGCTAGTTGTTTCTACGGCCAATAAAACAAATCAATCCATCTCCACGTTCACTGAGAAAAAAGACACAAGTTACCACCACCAGGAATAAAAGAAAGGACACATCGCTACAGACCCCACAGATGTTACAAGGATAACAAAGGCACACAGCAAACAAACCAATGCCCATAAATTCCACAATTCAGGGAAAGGAGCAATGTGTCAAAAGGCACAAATCCCCAAAGCTCAGCCAAGAAGAAACTGATAAGCTGACTAGTCCCCTAGCTACAAAAATAACTGGGTTCACTGTTAAAAACCTAACAACGCAAACTCCAGGCCTGGATGCTTTTGCTGGGGAGTTCTACTTAATATTTAAGAATGAACACCAACTCTACACATCTACTCAGAAAATAAGAGAGAGCACCTCCCAACTCACTTTTGAGGCCAGTGTTATACTGACACCAAATCCAGACAGAGAGTACGAGAAAATCTGAGGGAGGAAGGGCGAAACCCGAGTATTCCCACCACCACCTCTGGACAATGCTGCCGTCAACCCAGCCGCCAGAGTCCACATGCCTCTGTCCTCTGGCTTCCAGGCACCACAGCCTGTCCCTTTGGCTTCCCACCTCCACAGCCACCCGGGCCTCTCTTGCCTGCAGAACCACAAAACCTCCCAGGGTGTCCTTTCTCCCATTACTGCCTCCCACTGACCCATTTCTCCACATGGACCAGGATCTGACCACTTCTAGCTCCAACACTTCCTGACTCCCCTTCACTTGCTCAGGGGATAAAACCAGAAGCCTCAACAAAGCTGGCCAACCTCAGCCACTCCTCTTCCCGACCCAGTCTCTGTTCCTCAGTGGAGCCGACCTCGTCCTAATTCCCACTAGTTTCTAGAACGCTTCTGCTGGGCTCCATGGCTTTGTCCCCACTGTTCCTGACCCTTGGAACCGTAACCCGACTGCTGCCGAGTTGCTGCGAGACTGCTGCTCTTGCACAGCGGTCACCCCTCCTCTGGGAAGCCTTCCTTCTACCTTGCAGGAGAGGCATGCCTTCCCCCCGTCCTCCACTGTCCCCACTATCCGGGGAGGGGTAGGCCCTCCTCAGGGCAGTGGCTGGTGTGGCAAGAGTGAAGACAGAAGGTAGGCAGACCAGACGGCAGGATCTCTGCCAAGGTGCAGTGCCCCCAGATCAAATCAGGAAAACATCCCCAAAGCCTGGAGATGCCAAGGTCTGTGCCAGATGGTGCCCGAGATCGAGAGGCTAGCTGCACGGACTGCTGAGCAAGGCCCCCCAGAGCCCAGTCTTCGCAAAAAGGGCCTCATCTGTCCCCCTAGTCTCCCCAAAAGGCGGGAGAGACAAGGACCACCCAGCTCCCTATCCCACTGGATGACGAGAGCCCAGTCTCCGCATCACCGGGACTTGCCCCCAAGGCTCAAAGGCCCAGATCCGGCACCTGGCCCACCACACAAGCACCTAGGACGTGGGGCACTGGGCTCGAGGGGGTCCGAAGGCACTACAGCCCACCTGCTGGCCGCGGCTGTGCTGCTGGCCTTTTTGGCGGGAGGCTTCTTCGGTTGGGCCTGCTTGGCAGGTGGGGCCACCTTGGCCTTCTTGTCGTCCTCGGACTTCGCCTTGTGCCTCTCCTTGTCCTTGTCCTTGTCCTTGTCCTTCTTTTTCTTCTCCTTCTCCTTCTTCTCCTTCTTCCTCTTTGGCTTATTCACTGGGGCCTGCGACAGGGCGGCCAGCTGCTCGTGCACGGCCTTCAGCTGGAAGATAACAGGTGGCTGAGCAAGGCCGCCCTGGGGCTGGCCCAAGGGGGCCACAGGCGGTGGCGGGGGCTTTGGGGTGCCCTTGGAGCTACCTCAACCTTGCGGGGAGGTGAGCCAGGGCCACCGGGGCCACACCCTGCTGTGGAAAGGCAGGCAGGTCCCAGAGCAGGTGGCATCGAGCTCCACTCTGCCCTCACCCGTGACGGCTGGAGAAGAGCTGCTTTGCAGTCCTCACCGGAAACGAGGCTCACAGGTGGCCAGGAGGCCAGCAGGTGAGCCTGGGGACACGTGCAGACCAGGACAGGTGCATAGTGACAACCTGATAAATCGTAGCCAAGGGCGCCTGGGGGGCTCAGTCGGTTAAGCCTCCGACTTCGACTCAGGCCATGATTTCACGGTTCAGGAGTTCGAGCCCCGCGTCGGGCTCTGTGCTGACAGCTCGGAGCCTGCAACCTGCTTCCGATTCTGTGCCCCTCCCCTGCTCGCTCACTCTCTCTCTCTCTCTCTCTTTCAAAAACAAGTAAACACTAAAAAAACAAAACAAAAAATCTTAAATGGTAGCTAACGTTCTTCTCGCCAGGTATCTTTCAGACGAAGGCAAGTCTACGTAGAGGCCTGTTAGATAGAGGTCTACTCGTCTGCACGAAGGAGGTTTTCCACAGCTTCCTTCAGAGGCCACAGGGAGGCCACTCGGCAGATGCACAGACTGACCCAGCGCCAGCAGCTACCATCTCGTTTCAGGGACACCCCCCCCCCCCAACATGGGCCACGAGGGGCCACCGTAAGCTGCACCTCACAGGGGAGGAAACGGATCCTCGCGGATCCCAGGCCGCCCGGTGGCTGCACCCAGGGCCACCTTCCCTGTGGCGTCGCCTCTAACGAGGCTCAAGCCGAAGTCCAACGCCAGCCCCACCGTGGTGACCACGGAGGCACCTGCACTCGGCTCTCGGGCCGCCTCACCCCCGCAGCGGCCAGGGAGCCGGCCCCCCTCAGACGCTTCCGCGGCGGGCGAGGCACCCGGGGTCCGCCGGGACCCCCGGAACGGCCACCGCAAGCCAGGCGGGCGTGACCCCGACCCGCGGGCGCGGCCGAGGGGCCCCCGGAACAGACGACTGCCCGCACCTGCTCCTGCAGCTCCGCCAGCCTGGTGGCCCTCTCCTCCTCCGAGTCCGAGCTGCCCGAGTCCGAGGAGCTCTCCTCGCTGCTGCGGCTGCTCTCGGCGCCCTTGCTCAGCACGGGGGCCGCAGGGGCGGGCAGTGCCGGTGCCTCCGCGGGCTCGTCCGGCATCTTGGCGAACCGCATCTCAAACACGTCCTGTGGGAGAGCAGGGGCCGCCTGAGGTCCTGGACGCCCACGAGGCGGCCCCTCGGGGTGGGGGACCCACACCCGAGGGCCCCTGAGATGCCCTCGGAGATAACACCCACGGCTGCTTGGAAGGCCCCCCCCCCCAGGGTGCCCCCCCACCTATCCAGGCCCCGGGCGCAGATCCAGGGACAGGCGCCACGGGGCCCCAGCCACGGACACAGCCTTCTAGGAACTGGTCCGAAAGCCCCTTTTCTCAAGCATGCAAACCTTCTGGAGACAGGTGCCTCCCTTTAGCCTCTGGGTCTGAGGCTCTCCGAGGCTGCCCCCCACTACAGAGCAGCCCGAGTGCCTGCCTTTGTCTGACCTGTGACCTCTGTGGGACCCCCAGCTGCTGGGTCTGGGGGCTGGTTTACTTTCCCCCTTGGGGTCACCTTGGGGTTTTTACCGCAGCATCGCATCTCATTCCGACTCGGGCCCAAAAAAAGTTGTCCTGTCAAAGTTGGCTTTCGAAAAGCCCCCTATAGAGCACGACCCAGGCCCTCAGGAGCACCTCCCAGTGCAGGTCCCCTCTCCCGGCCGCCCAGGTTCATGTCAGATGGGGGCGCGCAGCCACGTGGGAGCTCTCCCTCTGCAGAGCTCATCCGGCTGCATCCACACCAGATGACTCACATGAGATGCCACCCCAGTGACGAGCCATCCAGCTCCAGAAGCACCCGCTCCGGGTTCTGGACCCAGACTCTCCTCCTGGGGTGAAGACCGCCCCAAAGACACAGAGGCGCAGAGCCAGGGTCTGGCCGGGCCCTGGCACGTGGCCTGGAGGGGCGCGGACCCCAGAGCTGCCCCCGCACCACTGTGCCAGCCCATGCGCAAAATGGCCATCACTAACCAAGGCTCTCGGCCTCTGTGGCTGCGCTGTCGAAAACCAACTTTTGCAGGACAGAAACGGGGCCTCCGGCCTCCGCTTGCACACCCAACCTGCCACCAGGGCCGCCTGGCTCCCTTATTAGGCTGAACCGGTGCACCGGGTTCAGAAGCATCACAGAGCAAACACGGAGGGGAACTCTGCTCCGAGGCACAGCGGGCGTGGTCTCAGTATGAAACCGCAGACCCCGCGGGCTTTCTCCGGGCATTCTGGGACCACCAAGGCCACTCCGCCCTCCTCCCCAGCGGGAGCCGGTCCACAGAGGGCGCCCCCCCCCCCGGGCATCAGCACGGCCCCCCCACAGGAGGACCCAGCGGCACAAAGACAGCTTCTCTGCTTCTCCCCCATCCCTCCCTGAGTCTCGGGTGGTCAAGGGTTCTGACCAAGACAAACAAAAAAAAAGCGTTCTAAGCAAAAAACTAGGAACATCTCACGCGACAAACATACTGCGTCCTGGAGAAACGGAATGCTGGAAGAGAGAGAGTAGAGGTCCACGATTTTTACTCTTCCCTCCAAAATACTGTTCCAATCACACGACATTTAAAACTCCGCTGCTGTTAACCACGAAAGCAACAGCGCCCATCACCAAGGGAGCGTACTGGCCCCCGCAGAAACGTGTGCGCAGCACCCAGACTTTGGCCAAAAATCCCAGGCATGCACGTGCACACACACACACACACGTCTGTGCGTGCAAGGTGTGAGAGCACAGGTACACAGTCCCTGCACCAAAGGTCAGGCTCGCCTTCCCTACGGTTCCCACACCTCGTTCCCACAAACCGCTTTCGGCGTCAGGAAAGGCCACGCAAACAGCCATCACATACAACCTCCGGCAGCCTCGCGGCGAGGCCCCCCCCACACCCCCAGGCACGGAGCCGAGAGCAGGAGAGCTGCAGGAGAACGGACACCCCCTCGTCCTCCCCGGCCCAGCCGGAGCGCACGCCCGTCCCGGAGGGCGTGTGCCCGCGGCTCGTCTGTCCGCCCCCGGGGAGAAACGCGTCCCGCGGCATTCCTGGCCAGATGTCCCCTGCGATGCCCATGTCCGTCCCGAGTGCCCACCTGTGCCCAGAAGGCCCCTCTGCCCGGGAGCGCCTAAGGTTACCTGGAGCTTCCTGGCCATGGCCACCACCTCGTGGTCCGGGGGGTTGTACTTGTAGCAATTGGAGAACATTAACCGGATGTCAGCTGCGAAACCCTGCGCGTCTGGGTACTCGCGGCTGTCCATCTTCTTCTGTAAGACACGGGCGACAGGGTGTGACGGGCGCCGCCCCCGCCCAGCAACCCCACTCCCCGCCAGGCCCCGCCTGCATGGACCACTGTCAGCAGCAAGCCCAATAAATGAGAGAGAGAGAGAGAGAGAGAGAGGGAGGGAGGGAGGGAGGGAGGAAGCAGGACTCGAGGGCTTGGGAGGGGGCTCTGGGACCCCCTGGAACAACACCCCAGAGAGGCCGCCACCCTGGGTGGAAGCAAAGGAGGCACCCTGGCTCCCGCAGCCGCCACGTAAGCTTTCCTTGCCCTGGTTTCCACACATTGTGTGACATTATACACAGTGAAATCCCTCACGGCGGGAGCTTCAGGGGGGACGAGGGGCTTCCGGTAAAAGTCACTGCCAACACTGGGCTGGGGGGGGGGGGGGGGCCCACCAAGAAGGGAAGGGGTCGTCTCCCCCCCCCCCCGGGGGCCCCCCCCCCCCCCCCCCCCCCCCACAAGCAGCACCGGACAGTCCTGGCCGACCCAGTGGAACAAGGTGGGGCTGGCAGGGGTGAGACTCAGGCAGGCTATATGCCGAGCACAGAGGCACCACCATGGACGGGCACAAGCTGCCAGTCAGGGCAGATGGAGGGGAGACTCGGTGAGGGAGCAAGCTCCCTGGCTCTCCCAGGCCCAAGCAGAAATCATCAGTCAGCGACCTCCTGTCGGCGAGGGTTGCCCCTCTTCCCTGGGCGCTGAGCGCCAATGCAGCGGGACCCTGCAGGTTAGGGCCCAACCACCTGTCTCATCTGAGCCTAGACTAACAGAATCCCGGACTCTGGTGGGCTGACTGCAGCCCGACTCCAGGACCCTCGGCCTCTCTAGCGCCCTGGATACATGCCCCGTCTCCCACCAGCGGCAGAGCTGCAGACAGCACCCAGGCTGCATGGCTCCAGCCCTCGGCACAGCCTCCCTACCGCGGGAGGCCCGGCTACCGGGCACAAACGGGCACCCGAGACCCTCTTGACTTCTGTACGATTTTCAGGCTCTGGTGCTAACTTGACCGCTGGCCGCCTGGGCGGGGCTGAGGCACAGACAGGCTAAACCTAAGTGCATTGGGGGCCCAAGGAGAGTCGGCCGCTGGCTGGGGCTCCTCGGGGGCTCCCGGATGATGGGTGTTTCTCAAGGGGAACGCCAGAGCAAACCGCCCAGGTCCCCGCAGGACGCGGCCCCCTCCCCACAGCCTCAGCGCTTCCCACTCAGCCTCTCCCTGGCTGTGTGGCCTGGACGTGTGGCTGCTCGCGTCCGGCCTCACGTGCCCCCCAAGGCTCTGGGGATTAAGAAGGGCACGAGTGTCACTGTTGTCAACGACGCCCTCATCTGGGTGACGGGAGCTCTGCCGGCCGAGCTCAAGGCTTGGAGAGTCAAAGACCTGGATTCCGGGCCTGGCTCCGCCCACAACTCACCCACCCGTCCAGCCTCAGCTTCCCGGTCTCTAAACAGCAGCGGCGCGTGCAGACAAAAAGGCCCAGCCCCAGTAGCCCCCAGCCCAAGTCCCAGCCAGGTCACCGCATGGGGAGAACGAGACGGGCAGACAGCCCTGTCTGGGACTGAGGGGGCCAGCCACCTGCTGTCAGCCTGGAGCCAGGACCCCACAGACCCTACGGAGGGAGAGAGCCTCCGCGAGGCGAGCACTCGGCCTCCGAGAACTGCACCTGGGAGCGCGTGTTCCCGCCGCCCCACAGTCAAGACCGGCTAGACAAGAGCCGGCCTCGGCCAAGCACGACTCTGAAGCACGGTTAGCAAATCTTCCCCGGGAAGGGAGGCAGCCACAGAGCTGGGATCTGCTCTCCACCGGCCTCTGCCTCGCTGGCCCCTTTGCGTTCGTCCTGCATTTGTATTGACTCATGCTGGTCACGAACCGTCCAAAACCAAGGGTACCAGGCTCCCAGTGGGGGCAGGACCTAAGGTATCTGAGGAAGAGGCTTGGTCACTCGAATGCTTCTGCAAGCGCCACCACCGAGGTGGGGGGGGGGGGGGCGGACAGCCAAGTCTGTCCTGCCTGAAACCCACACACGCCCGGGGGAGGAGGCTCCAGTAAGGAGACTCTGCCCGCGTCTGGCAACACTGGGAAACGAGGCAGAATGATGGAGACCAGCCGTTCCAGGGCCAGACCCTATCCGTGCAAAGGCGCCACCACTCCCCTTTGGGGGGTGGCTCTTGGGGCCACATGGGCAGCTTGCAGAGGAGGTGGCCTACAGTCCCCCACTGCCAGGGGCGTTCCTCGGAACCTCGGGAACCAGCACTGGGCCGGCTCGCCGGAGACGGGGGAAGGGGGCAGGTGTGCTGGGGCTCGAGCCCGATCGGGACAGGGGGTCAGGAACCCCACCTGTGTGTGCTCAGGGAAGACCCCTGGGAGCTCATCCCAGCCCTGGGTCTGCTGCCCTTCGGCTGCGGCCGCCCCCCGGGGCACTTTCTCTCCCCGGTCTCTGCTTGTTTAACACCGGCCTGGCCTGGCGCAACACCCGAGAAAGTCCCGGGCGGAGGCCCTGGCACGGGAACCGGGGGGCCCGGGCTCTCGGTCTCAGCTCTGCCACCTGCCCCACTCCGAGGCCGCCCCGGTCTGGCCAGTGAGGGCGTGGGTCGCCCGAAAGGGCCCCCTTGCTGAGGTCACGGGAACCGCAGACGCGCCGGCACGGGACGCGGGAAGGAGAGCGCAGACCCGGGTGCAAGGGGGACGAGGACCCCAGAGCCGCAGGCTCAGCAGGCAAAACGCGCCTCCCTCCCCACCCCCCGCCCCCGGGCCCGCGGGACCCCTGCGGCCGGCGGTCAACGCGCCAGCCCCGCCCTGAGCGGGCCCCGCGTCCGCGTACCTTGACGGTGCTGAGGTCCATCGGGTGCTTGATGATGTCGTGGTAGTCGTGCAGCTCTAGGGCCTCGGCGTCCACCGGCTTGTAGAAGGGCCAGGCGTAGGCCGCGTGCTTCTTGGACAGCATCTCCTTGAGGATGCTGTCACAGTGCCGCAAGTGCTCCGACAGCTTGCCCTTCTTGCCCGCGTGCTGCGGCACCTCGCCGTCCTCCAGGTCCTTCTTGGGCGGCTTGATGGGGCGGCCCCCGCTCTCTCGCCGCGCCACCACCTTGGCCTGCTTGGGGTCTGACAGCGGCGGGGGCGACTCGCTCCGGCTCGCGGTGATGGCCGACGTCGTGGGCGTCGTGGTGTCCGCTTTCCGCTTCACACCCTTTTTCTGCGACAGCGACGACGCGACCGGTGAGCGCCGGGCACGAGGACGCGGGTGGCGGCAGCCGCACTCCCAGGGCGCTATCGGCCAGGCACCGAGCAAAGCGACCGCGCGCACGCGCATGCACAGCCACACCCGTCCTCCCGCTGCCCCCCACCCCCGCGGCACACGGGACGCCGAGGCTCAGAGGGGCCACGTTTCAGGCCCAAGGTCACACAGCTGGTAGTGGTGAGGCTGGACTCAGAAACCGTCCCCCGAGCCGCCCCTCTGCGGGCCCTGTCCGTTTGCCCCCAGGCCTCCGAGGCTCCGGTCACACCCCAGCAGCGTGAGGTGTCACGTGCGACTCAGCTGCATCTGTCTGACCTCGGGGGCCGTGCTGGCCGTCCAGAGGCCAGCATGACAAGGATGACCCCAGGACCGGGATCGTCCCCAAGCGGGACTCGGGCTAAGGGACAGCAGAGACGAACGGGATTCCCGGCTCTTAAAGGCCAGTGGGAAAGCCCCAGATCAGGGCCTCAAAGCTGGGGCTCCAGGGGCAGCCACGGTGGAGCAGGCCGAGGCCCGGAGGCAGGAAGACCGGGGAGGGCAGGATTGCAGCCGCGGGTCTCGGACCAAGGACTCCCAGGGGCTGATTGGGCAAGTCGGGACTTTCACCCCAAAGGCAGCGGGAGCCACAGAGAGCTCTCTTCCCCGAAGAGAGGGAATGTTAAAACGACCGACAGAGCCTTTTGCAGGCGTGTGCAGGGCACTCACAGGGGCTGTGCCCGGTGAGGGAGAACCTGTTAAAGCCCGGGAGTCCTGGGGCGTGCGCGTCTCCTCAGGCACCGGGCCGGGGGGCCCACAGGCATCACAGTGTGTGCTGCGGCCAGGGCTCAGTGCGTCCCCGAGACCGGCTCGGCCAGCTCCCCACCTCCCAGACAGGCAGAGGCGCCCCTCGGAGCCGCAGCGCCCGGGCTGACGGCCTCATGGGGATCTGCTCCCTGGGGCGCCGCCACGGTCTCCGCCCCGGCCAGGCCACTGCCCCCCGGCTGGCAGGGGCATGAGCTGGCGGTCCACAGACACTCGTGGGCACCCGCAGGATGCCAAGCGCGTGCCACAGAGGCCCGGCGGAGAGCTCATCTGGCCATGGCAAACAGGACACGCTCCAAAAACAGCCGGGCACTGTGCTCGGCAGCCTGGCCAGGCGCCGCCCGGGAAAGAGCAGGCGGTGAAGACCACGGGGGAGGGAGAGCAACGGAGGGGGCGTTTTACCTTGGGGGAGCCACTTAACCCCTCTGAGCGCCTGCTTCCTCATCTGTAAGATGGGGGAAATACTGTCTGCCCCAGAGGGCCGCTGTGAGGGGCAAACGGAAGACACACGTCAGCGTCCGGCACGCGGCCTGCCCCAGACCTCACGGGGAGCGCCGGCTCTGAGCCCAGACCCGGCCAGGACGGTCCCCGCCACGGAAGTGCCAGCCACACCGGGGGGACGGATGGCGCCGGAGCTCACGCCAGCAGGGGCGGGCGCCAGGCCCCCCCGTGACGCACCCGGGCCACTGCCCTAAATGCAAGCGTTGAGCGGGGGAGCTGCGGGCCCCTCCACGCCGCTCCCCACACCTTCCCACAGGACCCTCGCACGGCGAAGACCGAGCCTTCAGGGCCAGAGAAGTGGGGGTTCAGCACAGCCTGCCCTCACCAGCTGTGTGACCTAAAGCCACCCGAGCCTCGGTCTCCCCGTCTGCATCAGGAGCACGGAGAGAACCAAAGTCACGTGTACCCAACACCCGACAAGCAGTCGGTGCCCAGGGACAGGTGGCCGTGCACCCCTCCCGGCCCGCCCCACACCTGTCCGAATCCAGGAACCCCGGCCTGGCCATCAGACAGACAGCCGGCTGACCTCGTCCCCAGGGACGCTCACCTTGACGACAGGTGGTGTGGGAGGGACCACGGGGATGATGGGCGTCGAGGGAGGAGGTGGGGCGGCGGCCGGGGGGACGGGGACCGACGTGATGTTTGCAGTAATGGTTGGCACAGGGGTGGCGGCAATGACGGGCGTCTGGGAGACGGTGGGGGGGACGCTCTGAAAGGGGGCTGCTGGGGTGACAGAGGACACGGCCGCCACTTGCTGCGTACCTTGAAGGCAAGGAAAGCACGTTGAACACACCAGGCTCTATCTGCCAGCCAGCTTCTAGAAGCTTCTAGAAGCTTCCTGGACCATCCCCTCCAGCCAGAGCACTCCGGCGCCAGGGAGCCCCTCCCCCCGAGGCCCCGGCCCTGAACCTTGGCTGCCTCCACGGAACACACCTCCCCAGGCTCTCCCTCTGGCCAGAGACTAAAATCTCAACGAGGAAGCTGGACAAGGGGCAGCCCGGGAGGAAGGGCCGGGCGTGGGACCGCGAAACCGGAGGTTCACTCAGACTCCACCTCGAACTAGCTGAGAGACCCAGGCGGAGCTCCTTAACCACCCACGGTCCCATCTGCGAAGTGTGATGGCCGGTGGTGTGGGGGACCCACCGCGGCCTCCCCCGTCAGCCTCTCCATCAGGGCGCACCTCGGTTCCAGGTTCCGGCCAGGTAAGACCCCCAAGGCTCCCAGTGCTAACCCCCACTGCCCTCTCGACAGGGCGCACAGCCCCTCTCCTGTCACAGAGAACGCAACGCAGGCCAGAGAGGCAAAGTCCTGGGGGGACACAAGGACCTCCTGTCCAGACTGCTGGAAGAGGTGGTCTCAGAGGATGGGGACGTGGCAAGACCACAGTCTCCCCACAACAGCAGGCTCGGAGGCAGACAGTAACAGGCCACCGAGGGCCGGCGGGACCTCAGACAGCCCCGACTTGACAGACAGGGAAACTGAGCTCAGAGGGGCCGAGGGACCCGCACGAGAAATGCTGCTGTCAGTCCCCGGGGGGTGTCAGGATAAAGGGACCGTGCCCGTCCGCCCCTTTACCTGCACTCTGGGTTCCGCCAGCCGGCTTCCGGCCTTTGCCCTTCGGAGCAGGGGGTAATAATTCAACTTCCTCCTGGGGCATCTGGGCCACTTTCTGCAGAAAAATTTTCTCTAAGGCTTGGGCCATTAGCACTATGTCATCTGTGGGCTGAAGACACAGGGGGAGCCAAGGTCACTTGTCGGGAAAGGAACCACGTGTTCGCCAAAGACATCGCTGGTTGTAGCTCAAGAAAACACTGACTCGAGAATCTGTTAAGAGATTTGCTAGGGCGGGAGGCGGGAGGAGGCCAAAGGGGCGCATCCCGCTGTGGAGACGGGAAGGGTAACAACCACCCTTCAGCCCATCACGTGGAGGAAACACAACCTTCTACCCGCTCCCACTCAATTCGTCTCTGCTTTATCACGTCGCTCTTGAAAACAGCGGAACCCCCACGAATGTAGGGTCCCGTGGACCTTCCCTAATCTACTCCTCCCGCTGCAAACCACTGTGTGGACACGCTCCCTCATCGTGCAGGGTCCTTGCCGTCTCGGGCGGCTGCGCACACGCGAGCCCGCATCTCTACGGGAGGGGCGTCTAGGTCGGAGGGCGCGGACGGTTTGAAGCATTTGGTTCCCTAACCTCCTTCTGAAAAGGCTGTTCCCACCTTTACCTCCCCTCCCCCAGGGTGGGGGAGGGGGGCAGTGCGGGCAGCGTGTGGGACCCTGAGTGGGGACGGTGGCCAGAAGGGTGGAGAGCCAGGGGGTGACGCGCCCGGCCCCGAGGGCCCTCTTGCGGCCACGTGCGCCCTTACCTTGTTATAAATGTAACAGTTTGTGAACATGGTGTTGAAGTCCTGCATACACTCGCTCGCGCTCCAATAATAACTGTTTTCTAGTCTCTTCTTGATAGTCCCCATGTCCATCGGGTTCTTTATTATCTTATGATAATCCTAGGAAAGAGATTTTCGGAGACGTCATCAGCACCCACCGCGTGGCCATTTCCGCTGCTCCCGAGGACAGTAACTGCACGCCGCGCAGTCTCTTCAGGCGAGTCAGGCGCCAGGCCCGGGTCAAAGGCAGGACGTGGGGCGAGCGCCCGGCCAGCCGCAAACCCCTCCACGCCTCTCGCCCGACGGCTTCTGCCTGCATGGGAGGTTCTTAGAGACGCACGCGACTGTGCAGCCGGAGCAGGCCCCAGAGCTGACTGGCATTCTAGAGACGGGGCCAAGCTCCCTCCCGGATTCCAAACCAAGGGTCCGCCGGAGGCCAGTGCCGAGCCGGGCCCAGAACCCAGGCCACCAACTCCTGGCCCTGGGCTTCGCCTTCAAACGCTCAGGGTTTCTCTACCTGGGTCCAGATGAGAAACCCATCGGATGGATGGCCCGCGCCGGGAACGCGACCCCAAGGGGCGGGTGCAGCGCTCTCCAGGAGGGTACACGGGACAGGAGGAAGACGAGTGAGTCCTGGCTCCTGCTCCCGCCCTCTCCAGCCCGTAGGGCTCAGGTCTCTACACTCGGTGCCCTGCTCCCTACACTCAGGGACAGGGCCCTCCCACTCCCACCGCCGCTCCTTGGTCACCAAGGGCCACGGGCTGTGCCTGGCTTACCGGCACCACTGCTGCCTCGGCCCGAGGGGCGGTCCGTCCAGGAACAGGGCCGCAGGGGGGGCAGGGATGAGCGGGTACTCACAGGCAGGTTGAGCTTGATGGCGTCCACGGGCTGGTAGAAGGGCCAGGCGAACTGGTGCTTCCAGAGCGTCTTCACCACCACATTCTGCATGTACTGTAGCTGGTTGGTCTTGCGGCCCGGCTTGGTGGGGTTGGAGACCTCCGGCGGGGGCGGGTTCACAGGGCCCGGGGCCGCCGGGATCCCCGTGGGGGCGACCGTCGCAGTGGTGGACATCCTCCGCTGCTCGCTCACTGGCCGTCACAGCAGCGGCTCGGGGACGCCCTGGCTTCCACTGTGCTCCTTTCGGAGGCCTGACGTCCCATTTCTGGGCCCAGCTGGGCAGCACCTACGGGGGAGGAGGTACAGCAGAGACGGGCCGGTCACCCAGGCCCCACCGCCTCTCCCAGCCCCACGGACTCCCGCGTGGTCGCAGTGAGGCCAATTCATCTTGCTCACGACAGTCGCCCTGGTCAAACCAGCCCTCCCCTGTCACCCAACCACGCTAACTACGGCTCTCAGGCTGGGGCAGGGAGGTAACAGAACGCGGGCCACCTGGCCGACGCAAGGGCGGGAAGGCGGCCGTCCGGGCACACGGCAGCGGTGGGAGGCGGTGGCCCCAGACGCGGCCACTCCTGCCTCACTGCCCACCAACTGCCTGCCTACTGGGGGCGGACTCTGACTGTTCTTGGCCGTGGCACCTTTGCGGGAATGATTCACACGTAGAGACGGCTATAGCATCGACCCCGCAGAGCCGAGCCGGGCAGGCAGGACGTTTGTGGAACCACGCACGGCGTGTGGAGCTGGGCCCCCGGGGCAGCGAGGTTCTGATGTAACCACGAGAACGGGTGCTGGTTTGTGATGGCGGGCGGGGGTATGACACGCCCGGCCCCGGGCCAATCGGGAGGGCAGGGGAGGGCACCCCCCACCCTCCTCTCTCAGTAAATGAGGGGCTGCTGTGGACCTCCCTCCCCCCCACCCCCCGCCAACTTTCAGGAATGCCCTCCAGGCTCACGGCTGGAATCCAAGATGATTAACTACACCCCAGAACACACAGGCCGGCCCCGACATCGGAGGCCCAACATATCCCGGGGGCCAGCCGGCGGCCCGCTTTTACTCGCGAGTGGACTGTTTACTTTACGAGTGGACTGTTGACCGCCTGTGGAATGAGAGCACCGGGCCACGTTTCTGAGCCCTGCTACACTCCAGGTTTCTGTGTGTCCCAGTCCCCGTCACAATATCCAGACGGGTCGGGGCCGGGCGGCAGTGCCCTCTGCATGAGGGGCTGGGGGGCACCGGGGGACGGCACCGGGACAGCACATGTCGGTGACCGCGATCAGCCACCCTGCCCACAACTTGCAAAAGCGGATGGTTAAGACCTGGGGAGTTCTGTGAGCTGGTTAGCACCCTGCGGGTAGCTGGCCACCTGCCACGTGGGTGTGTTCACGCCAAAGTAACGCGCTCCTACTACAAACCACCGCGAGCGGCGCGAAGAGGGTTCAGACAGACAGCAGGGGCATCTCTGACGCACGAAGCAGACCAGCGGTGCATTCGAGGGACACCCCGGAACCACCACCACGAGGCGCCGCGCCCAGCACCCTGGGGAGCCCACAGCCCCACCCCCCCTTCCACGCACTTCCGCGGTGAGCTGGCGCCTCTCCCGCTCCTCCGGGTCGCCAAGCCCGGGGAAGCAGCACGGTCGGCATGGTGTCCTCGGCCCCCGCCAGCGGCTCAGCGGGGAGGGTGGCCGTGCCAGCTCGTGCTAATGGCTATGAGGGTGGGTCTTGACCACCAGAAAGGTGTGGGAGCCGGGCGCAAACCTGGGTCGTGCTCACACCCTGCGGCCCCACCCTCACTCCTGGCAGGTCAGCCCACGCTTGGCCTGAGCACCACTGCCACCTGCTGGGATCCCTGTGAACCCCTTGCCGCCAGCCCTCCCCGCCAGCCCTCCCCACACATCGCATCTGGCAGGGGGGTGGGCCCAGGCCACCTGGGGCCGCTGTTGCTGCCACCGCCACTCTGCCCAGGAATCCAGGGAACAAGCAGGATGCAGCCAGGGGCTAAAACACGATCTGGGGGTCTGGGGGGACACGGGCCAACCACCCCCGCCCCAAGCAGGAGGACAGACGGGCACTGCTCACTGCAGGGACACGCTCAGGAGGCCACCAAGACTGGAGAAATGCCCCAAGGCCTCCCTCCCTCCCTCCTCCGACCACTGCTGCTCCAAACCCGTGGCTGATGCAGGGAGCCAGCACCGGCCACAAACACTGGAACGCGTCCCCAACCCTGCCTTCAGGGGAGTGCCCAGGGGCAGACCAGCAGCCGCCGCGACCTGGGGCCCAGACGGCGCCGCGGAAGCTCCTGCACCGAAGGTCAGTGGTCACTATGGCCCACAGGAGGCCTTCCACGGTGGCCCGAGGTGAAGCCCGCCTCCAGCTCCGCTCAGGGGCCTGGTGAGACGTGCAGGAGGGGCCCAGCACCGTCCAGCCCATGACGCCCCACGATCTGTGGGGACTGTGCACGGCGATGGGCCCTCCCCCTTCCTGCAAACACTCTACTGAACCCGGGCGGGGACACCGCGCCCGGGGGGGCGCCCCCCCCGAGACCCGTGCAAATACCTGAGGGTGACAGCACCCAGCCCTCGGCCTCTCACGCCTCCCGGGAGCTGGTCCTCCTTCCCTGGCACCCCAGGCACCAGCTCAATGGGGAGGAAGGAAGGGCAGCCAGAGCAGAAGAGGCTGGGGACCCCCCACAAGCCCTTCCAGCCCAGGTGCCAGGACCCACCTCTCCAGAGGAGGCTGGACCGGCAAGGGGACAGCCAGAGAACTTGGCCCACACACCTCCAATACCTGATGCCTGGGAGGCACCTGTGGAGGGAGGGGGACTCAGGGAGAGGCCCCCTGGTCCTGGTCATAAAACCGCACAGGCACCTCGTGTCATCCCCTCCGGCGTGGCGGGCAGCGTCGAGTGGCCGCAGCCCCGCAGGCGCACGCACGCCGTCACCCTTCGAGATGGAGCCGAGGCCTGGGCGTCGGTCACCTCTGCTCAAAGCACAGGTGGACGGCGGGTCCAGGACGAGCAGGGCCGCACTGAAAGCCTGGCCTTGCCTTTCCCCCTGGACACTTCTCTGGGCCAGGCAGTGGCCTCACAGACGCTGACGAGGACGAAGGAGAGCCACAGGCCACCGTGGGAACCCCCACCGGGAGGCGGATGATGGGCAAGGACCTGCACACCAGCCCGCGAGGACAGGGGCTCTCACCCTCTGCTTGGGTTTCTGAACAGGTAGGTTGTGTTTAAAACCCGTTTCTTTTGCAAAAGGAAGAGCATAAAGAAATTTCTATTTCGAAAAACCGCTCGAGCACCAGCCAACCCCAGTCCTGCACTCGGTTCACCACCAAGCGTTCGGAGCGCCCGTTTCTCCTCCGAGGCCTGGGGCCGCGGACCTGGAGTCAGGGGAAGGGCTGAGCAGCCCAGCAAGCTCCTGGGAGGGGAAACCCCAGGGCCACCTTGACCCCAAAGTACGGGGTGGCACCCAGCAGCGTGGCCAGCCCCTGGGGTCCCACCGGCCACACCCAGGCTACCCGGACCCAGCCCACCCCTCAGGGCAAAGCACAGGACAAGACCCAGAGCATGCGAGCATGGCTCCTGCCACTCGGCCCGGAGGCACACGGAGCCGGCACACTATCCATCAGCCTCCCTGGGTGGGATCAGGGCTGCGTTCTGAGACCAGGAAGCAAATGATGCTTCCAGAAAGAAATTAAAACTTGGGGTGCCTCGGTGGCTCAGTCGGTCAGGCGTCCGACTTCAGCTCAGGCCATGATCTCACGGTTCCTGAGTGTGAGCCCCACATCGGGCTCTGTGCCGACAGCTCGGAGCCTGGAGCTGCTTTGGGTCCTGTGTCTCCCTCTCTCTGACCCTCCCCCACTCACACTCACGTCTCTCTCTCTCTCTCTCTCTGTCTCTCTCAAAAGTAAATAAAACATTTTAAAAAAAACGAAAAAACAAAAAAAACTTACACAGACCACTAGCCGACCCCCTCACAGGGTTCAGCCACGAACTAAAAACCTGTAATGGACAAAGCGCAAAACGACGGGGAGGTTTAACGTGCTGTGAAGGTCGGCTGCCGTGGAATCCCGCGACAACAGCTCCCAGGGTGGCCACCGGTCCCCGGACGCCCACAGCGCCCCGAGCAGCCTCTCCCTGGGACGTGTCCAGGAGCAGGGCCGACCCCACCAGCCAGCACCCACCACCCTCAGGCCCCGCCGTCACGGCGGCCCCCCCCCCCCCCCCCCCCGCCCGGGCAAGGCTGGTAGTGGCAGACGGCAGAGAAAACACCGAGAGGCACGCGGAGCGGTCGGCCGCGGCCACGAGCCCCTCCCCTCTGCTGGTGCCGAGACGCGCGTGTGACCTATGAGGTCAGTGACCATGCAGGCTCACAGATGACAAGGCTGAGGCTCCCTGCCCTTGGCGTATTTCCTGAGCTGACCCACATGGGCATTCGAGGGACAGGACCCAGGCAGCCGAAGAAGGTGACGGTCCTGCTGTCACCACACCAACATCAAGGGCACCAGGCCAGGGGGGCCGCACAGAGGGCGGCAAGAAACACCCGCCCGGGTCTCCACACCAGGGTTCAAAACTCGGCTCTCCTCGCTGGCCGACCTCCAGCATTGCCGTCGCCCTACCGAGCGCTCCCAACCCAGCCCCACGGACAGAAACACGGGCGGCATGGCTTCCCACCCACGAGGATATGGAGACCAGGGACATCCTGGCCAACGGCTAGGGAGCTGGGTGACTCTGGCATGTTGGGCTGGAAGAAAATTAGGTGCCCGGGTTCCCAAGTCACCCGGGGAGGGGGACTCAGCACAGCCAAGGGCCGGGGACCACAGCCGCGAGTCTCTGTACGCCCATTACGGGATGCTGTGCGGACACGCGGAGGTCACACGCGGGACAGACATTGGAAACATGTCCGCCTAAGGTAAACACAGCCTTGCACCTCACCTCGGTGTCCCGGCAGACCGGGACCGGCCCCTCAACGTCCTCCCAACCCCACACGTTATGACCATGAGCCACCCAGCCAGCCACGCACACAGAAGCATCACACGTGTCAGAGGAGCAGGAAGGCTCCTGCCGCACCCACTGCTCTCCCCCGGGCCTGCCCCTCCGGGTGGGCACCAACCCCTCTCTGCCCCAACAGGCCTGAGCTCCCTGCGGGAACACCGGACACCCCAGCCCCGCCCCTCAGCCGCGCCAGGCGGGGGAGAAACAGCGGGGCAGAAGCCGCCCTGCTGCAATGGCCGGGGACAGAAGACACAGAAAACTGCCGGCTTGGCTTGCTCCTGCATCTACTGC